TGTGTGTGCGGCCTCGAGCCCAGATGCTTTCTGCCACTGATCTACAAGCCCATCCCTTTTTACTTTTTGTTTTGAGTAGGTCTCACTGAGAAGCTAGGTTTCTCAGGTTAGGCTTCAGCTTGTGATCCTCCTGCTTCAGCCTCCCTCAGCACTGGGCTTACAGGTGTAAGCTTCCACATCCAGCTTCTCACAACACGTCTAGTGTATTTCTCATTTTATTTTATGAATGACATTTTCTGATCACATCAACACAAAGTGATACAGAAGACCAGTGATTCAGTCAAGAAGGCAGTGCTGTTAAGGGGTCCTGTTAGATGCACCTGGTTTGAGTCCTATTTCAGGCTTGACCCTGCCACTCATTAAGCAGGAAGCCTGAGGTGAATTAATTTTTTTTTTTCTGAAGTACTGCGGAGTGAACCCAGGACATTCCCAGTGAGCTACATCCATAGCCCTTTTTCAATTTTTTGTTTGTTTGTTTTTTTGGTACAAGGAATTGAACTCAGGATCTTGCACTTGCACAGCAGGTGCTGGAACCACTGAGCTAAATCCCCACCCCCCCTTTTTCAATTTTTAATTTTGAGACAGGGTCTTGCTAAATTGCTCAGGCTGGGCTCCATCTTGCCATCCTCCTGTTTCAGCCCTCCAGAGTGCTGAGATTAGAAGTGTACCCCACCCACCACACCTGGCTGAAGGGAACTACTTCTGATCATCAATTTTCTCATCTGTCCAATAAGACAATAATATCTGCTTAACAGGATTGTGAGAAGCCACTGGGATACAGTGGTACCCCAGTTCACAAACTCAATTCTCTCGCAAAATGAACTGGACGTGAACCGAATCAAATTTCCCCATGAGTTCAACATTGAACCTAACCACTGCATTGGATTCAGTTCTCATCCAACTTGGTTTATGACCAGAATCATGGAAAGAATCAAGTTCGTGGACTGAGGCACCGTTCTTGGCTGCTGAGAAGTACCCAGTGAGCTATCTTCAGTATCGCTCTGTATTGTTTTAGTTAGAAAAAATCATGCATAAAAAGTAAAACTAAATTGAATGCTGCGAAAGTATCGTAGACCCATTGCTTTTTAAGTTTGTTGATAATTTTGAAAATGATGTCTCTATTGACTCAAGCAAAGTAACTTGTCTACTCCATTACATTTTTGTGAATTCCCTATCACCCTCCCTCTTGGGTTTCTGAATCCCCTACCAGTGACCCTTGCTGTTGAAGCAGCAGGGCCAGGGTAGTGGCTCTTCAGGGAGCCTGGGGTCTCGATGTGCTCCGCAGCCCGGGAAACACACTCCATTGCAACCTTCTACCTCTCTGGCCCCTACCAGTACTTATCTGCTTGATGACATATGTGTTTTGTTTATTTGTTCAACACAGTGAGGTCTATATTAAGAGTTACCAAATGCTTTGTGGATGGGTGGAATGTAGAGTCTGTTGGAAATGGGAGTGCATATGGTAAGTGTTACAAGGAATATTTGCCACTAATAAATGAATTAAAAATATGTGAGGGCTACTGGACAAAAATTAGCAAAACTTAAAGTATTATTTGTTTTGTCTATGACTTCAAAGTCTGCTTGGGTTAAATTTTTTGTTATTTTTTTGGCCCAGTCCCCTTCTCTTATAATATAAATGTTAGTGCAGCTAATGCTAGTGCATATTAGTTACATAGATTAAGGGCTTCACTTTTGCAGCTTGATATGCGCCTCTAACCCACCTCAATCACTGCCCCCCCGTTCCTTTCCTTTTCACTAATAGGTCCCTTCCACTTTCATGTCCATTTTCTCTGTGTGTGTGCTCGTGGTGCCTTGTGCTTGCACATGGGTGCATGTGTGTGAAAATATATGGTGAGAGTCTGCATTTAAAAAATTAAAGACACATTGCCATTAACCTCCCTCAAAAACTCTCCTGCACGTCAAACACACGGATCCCATTGTTCTTGCCTCATTCTGAAGCAGTTCTGGAAGTGCTCTTTTGTAAGTGTCTTTCTGACATTCAGTCAAAACATACTTTCTCTGCTGCTGCTGAATGCCATCCAGTGGGAGGCAGGCTTGTAAAAATATTGCAGTGTGTTCTCATCTACCTTATGTATATGTGCAAGAGGAAACACGCTGAATCTATGTCTGCCTTATTTCATTTAACATGCTGGTCTCCTGTTCCATTTATTATCCTACAAATGGCATGATTTCCTTCTTCTTAATAGCTGAATAATACTCCATTTTTTATATATACTATATTTTCTTTCTTTATTTGTCTGCTGACAGGCATCCATGCTGTTTCCATAGCTTAGCTATAGTGAATCAGGCTACAATAAATGTGGGTATGTGGGTCTCTCTATAATATGTAGACTTTACTTCTTTGAGCGATCTGCTGAGGAGTAGATCAAATTGTGGCTCTACCTTCAGCTTTTTTGAGAAACTTCCATACTGATTTCCATAATAGCATTTTTTATTTACATATCCAGCAACAGTGTGTAAGGGTTTCTCACCTCCTCACCAGCATTTTTTGGTTTTAGTATTCTACTGATACTCATTGAGACTGGATGAGACCAAACATCAGTGTAGTTTTGATTTGCATTTTCCTCGTGGCTGAAGAAGTTGAACATTTTTTCATGTACTTATTGGCCATTTGTATTTCTTGGGAAGTATCTATTCAATTCACTTTTGGGCCAATCTTTTTAACTTCTTAGTTCTCCTTGTCTCAAAACATAAGAAAGCACAAAAAAGTGGTAGGGTAGGTTGTTCTCATACATTAGGGCCCACGTTTGATCCCCAACATGGGAAAATAAACAAAACAACAAACTTTGTCCATAGTGCATTCTAATACCTTTGTGAATCATAGTGTGTTTTGAAACTATTGAAAAGGGCAAAATTTTTGAAAGTGCAAAATAGGTATCATTTCCTTAAACAGCAAAATTATCATGGACAATTGTAAGATGGAGATTTCTATGTCAACTATGCACCCCTGCCTCCTACACAAACCTTCTTTCTCTACTTTCCTTACTACACATATTCCCCAAGTTAGACTTGTTACAACTTCTTCATTTCAGTATGGATATATTAAAAATATCAAAACTGGTCCAGTATCTTAAGAACTCTGATCATGAGTCACCTTCCTAAAAATGCTCTGACATAGTAAAAATGATGAAAAAGATTATGATGGAATTTCTGCTATGGAATTCTTTTACATATCTGATTTGTTGAGAAAAGGATTAGAAATTAATTAGAATTAATCTAAGATTGAATTTATGCCAACTCAATAGACTTTAATGTCTCTGAACTTCTATTTTTGCAAAACAATGATTTAATTGTAGCCTTTGGTCAACAGGCATTTATTCAATATGTACTATTTACCGGATTCCACAAGAAGCTAAAAAAATTGTCCCCCAAATCTTACTCGTAATAAAATGCCCTCTATGGTAATTGTCAAAGGAGTAAGTTGGGCAAAAGTTAGCTTTGGGACATGGGACCAACAGATGTCCAGATATTAAGTTTAAAAAGTAAAGAAAAGGGAGAAAGTTGCAAGATTTAGGATGAGATTATGAAAGAAATTAGAAGGAGCCGAAGGAGAGAGCAGAATGGGGCAAGTCCGTGGAGGAAAAGACACTTTCCAACCAAGTACTAATCTAAAAAAGTTGCAGGATGGACATGAAAGTGTTTCCCGACCCTAAGAGAAAAATCGCCATAAACTCCTGAGGAGTCAATAGCTGGAGACAGCACAAGAAAACCAAGTGCCTTTTATGGAAGATGCCGAGAGGAGACTCCACACACGCACTGCTCTGCGCTTTCCTGGAACATGTAACTTAGGCCTCATGTGCAGGTAGTAGCTGGGGGGAGGAGGAGCTGCCGAGGTAGGAGGTGAGCTGAGGAGGAGTCAGGCTGTGGTGGCCCAGGGCTCGTGCTCAGCTGTCTGGGGAAGAGGCAGCCCGCGTGCTCCCTGGACGTCCAGTGTGCAGAGGGCTTGATGAGAGAACATGCACAGTGCCTCCCGTACGCTGAGCAGACAGACCATGCTGTCCATGTCTTACCCTGGTCCTGACATCTTCGTGTTCAGCAAGGACTCCAGATCCGAAGACACAGGGCTTGCACTAGACTCATTTGCATAAAACAACTTTGTATATGCAGGACAATGAACACTAAAAACAGTTTGAAGCCGTAATTTAAAAGAGGAGACAAACAGAGGTTAACCCAGGAGCAGCGGCCAGGAGTGAAGATGCCTACTAAGGGGAAGCAGACCAAGGAGAATGGGAGGAAGGGGAGCAGGTGGGAAATTGGGGGCTGTAGAGACTCCGATGTCTACTGGGGGCTTGTGTGGCAGCTAGCCAGTGCCCACTCTCTGACAGGGCATTCTGCGTAAGCCCGGGGTCCGGGCCAGGGCTGGGGCTGTCAGGCTGGGCGGCCTCCCAGGCTTCATCCCCTCCACCTCCACAGTGGTTCCCCACCCAGATTCCCATCTTGTCAAACTTGTTTCCAGTCACCCAAGCCCTCTAGTCGGTGACCTCTGCTGGTCTGAGTCTGTTACCCAGGACACAAATAGATTGAGGGTGTCAGATAACAAGGCAGTTTGGTGGGGAAGAAGAGAATTTGAGGGCTGCCATACCCTGCATAATACTCCCCTCCCCAGCCACCCGTACTTTTCAAAGCAAATATCCTTTCCCCACCTGTGCTGCTCTGTGCCTCTAAGTCACTGAAGGGCAACTGAGTGTGTGATTCATGCTTCTTTTTATTTATTTGCTTTGATGTGCTCATTGTCTCTCGGGAGCCGGCTGGTGGAACCTCTGACTCAGCCCTGTTTTTCTTGGGGGACTGGGGTAACAGTTAGGTAATGACAAAGGTGGGCTATAATTGCTCTATGGGAATGGCACAGAACATCGTGTGCAGTCAGGTCAGAGCAGTGACATTCCACGAAGTGACAAACACTGTGACCACGTCTTCAACTCGGATCAGGTTCCTTGCGGCCTGAGTGGTGACGTCCAATTAGTACCCGTTGGTGCTGGTTCGTGCAGGGTGACGTTCTTAGTCCCTGAAAACCCTGCTCACCTCGCACCCTCCCCAGACATTCGGAGAAGCAGTGGCCTTCGAAAGGCTGAGCCGCGGTTGCAGAGTGCAAGCCTCACACGCACACCCCACGGCCCCTTTGCACCCCGAACCACCGGCAGAGATGGAGGCGAGGCGAATGCTTCAGCCCAACTGGTGCGGCTCAGGGAACAGGTCGGAGGAGGCGCCAAGCTTGGGAAAAGGTGCCACCCGCAGAAAAACAGTTTCTTTAACTGAGAGTTACACAGGTCAGAAATACATTTTAAAAAGCAACTATTTTGCACAAGAAATCTACCAGTTTTCTCAAAAGGAGCAAGAACCTTCTGCAGTCCGTCGGCAGTGTCCGAAGCTCCAGGCAGCAGCCCACCTCGGTCTTGCTTCACCCACCTCATCTTTTTAATTTTTAAGTGGGGGAAGGGGACGGAGGAGTAGCCAGGGGAGCGCTGAGGCAGAAAGGGAATCCCGCACGGTTCCGGGCGCAGGAACGCGGGGCCGGCCCTGAACGCTTCGTAAATTCTGGGTGTTCCAGCGGCACGTGAGCCCCGCACAGAAGTCAGTGCAAAAGTCACCTTGTAACTTTTGATTATTGACTTTGAAAGGAGCGACCAGGTCTGTCAGAAATGGGCTGGGCCCAGAGGAGCCGGGCGGGGCGGGGCTGGGGCCCCACCAGAGCCCCGATTTCCTCGCCGACCCAGGCCCGGCCAGAGCTCCTGCTGCCACCTTCACCCACCCAGCTGGGCCTGCGATCCTACCCGCAGGCGACGCTTCCTCCCTCGGGGCCAGAGTTGCCCGGCCTGCAGCTGCCCCCACTGACCCCCGACCTCCTCAGGGTGAGAAAGGCCCTTCGCTGGGCCCGAAGCCTTTAACCCAGGCCTCCGGGAAGGCTGGCTCAGCAGCCCCATCCCTCGGCCCCCACCTGTGCCCAGCCGGAGGGTCCCCGGGAAGGGAGCCACAAACTGCGGACCGGCTGTAGGTCGCCTCTCCCAGGTCGGATAGATGATTCATTTTTATATGTAACGTTTTACCCCACTCTATAGCTCGGCTCTGTTAATGTTCAACCCCGGCCTAGGGAGGCCTCGGAGGAGGCAGGCGGGTGATCCGGGCCTATGGCGTGGAGGGCGAGACGGGGCGAGAGCGGGGATCGCGGGAGGGTCCCCTCGAGGACACCAGGCCACCCTGCAAGGGCAGAGCGGGCGCTGCAAGGCCCGGCCAGCGTCAGCGCGCGTCTCGGGGCTCAGCTCCAGACCTCGACAGGCTGGGCCGACGCCCACAGGGCCCTCTCAGCGGCCCCGCGAAAGGGCTTGGAAGCCCAGGGCTGCCGGCCCGGCCTCAGGCGGCGGTGGGCGCGGTGGCCGCTGAGGATTACACTGCGGCTTGAGGACAGGGAGGGCTGCGCAGACCTAGACCCGAGGGGCGACCCTGGAGTGGCGTGGGGGCCCGCTCCGAACTCCACCTTCTCCCACTGCCTCGGAACACACTGTGGGGGCCCGGAGCGGCAGGACGCCGCACACCGGCCGCCCCCACGAGAAGTGACCCTCGGAGCAGCGGCTCCGGCCGGACAGCCGCGGGACCAGGCTGTGCCCAGCCCGCGTGCCCCTAGGGGTCGCCACGCGCAGAGCACGCTCAGGTGGGCGCTGCTCTCGGTCACGCTGAGTCGGGCTGTGGGGCCCACCCGGAACCCGGGGGTCCCGAAGGCCCTGGGACCGGGAGGTGGGGAGCCGCGGGGGCGCAGGGCCAGGCCTGGGAGGCTCGGCGCGGGGCGTGGAGTGGGGAGGTTGCCACCGGAGCTGCGCTCAGCGCCGCAGGAGGAATGAGAGGGCCGTAGGAGGTAAACACCACTCCGAAACGCCGGATAGGCTCCCGGATTCACGCTTTCCTGGGGGACTGGAGGCGCCGAGCCCCCAGAGGGGGAGTTTTATTGCACTTTCTTTCCTTTGTTATTATTTTATTTTCCCAGTGATCTATGGCCCGGGGAAGCCTCTTCCCAGTGCCGGGTGGCCTGGATGGTCCCCACCTCGGTCCACAGTCTCTGCTCCCTCCCCCGTGCCCGCGGTCAAGCAGAAGCCAGTACGAGTGAGGCCCCTCTGCAAGGACTGAAGAAGCCCGCCAGCTCCTGAGCGCTGCAACCCCACTGAGACACCGGCCCCCTAACAGATGGAGCGCGGACAGGGACAGAGGAGGAGGAGGCACCAAGAACTGGGCTGCACCGGTCTGGGCCCCAGTCGCCTTCCCAGTGGTCCCCTTGGCTTTCTAATGGTTCTAGGTCGTATCTTCCCAAAGCCTCGAGGGAAAAGTTTCCTGCCCAGAACCGGTGCAGCAACCGCTGGCCCACGCAGGAAGCTTTGCTGCCTCTGGACCCCAAGAGCTCTGCTAGAACTAATCTGGGGGCTCCAAGGAAGTCAGCCCACGTCTTAGTCTTGGTATAACAGGTCCCAGCGTCACACGCCATTTTCTAAGTTGCTAGACTAGAGGGGAAAAGAAAACGACAAAACAAAACAATGCAAAACCTTTCTGTGGAAAACAATGCAAAACCTTTTTGTGGACGAAGAAAATAGGCAAGGGAGAGGGTGGGGGAGCAAAACACAGGGAGGGGAGAGCAGGAACACCTTAAACATGTTTGCTAGGAGAGAAGAGGACTGGATCTGGTCAGAGAGCTTGCACTTCCGCTCCTTCTGGGCAGCCCTGCCGCATTTCCACCCAAGACTAAACCCACTTTCCGCGTAATCGCGGAATATTTTCAAAGTAGTTCTTAAAACTTCAAGTGAATTTAGATGGTTCTTTTAGCAACTCTTCTGCTGCCCAACTTCCGCTTCCAGTATCTCCTGTGAACCAAAAGGCCACTGAACTGTTAGGAAAGAAGTAGCAATGAGTTTTTAAAAGGTAACCAAGTTAGCATTAAGTACATCTTTAATGGACCATTTTATTTCATGCAGGACAACTCTAACTTCCAGCAAAACATAAAATCAACATTTACAGAAAACCTGTAAAATCCTCAGGACAGAACAGAAGTTATACAATAAATTCTGGGTTTTTTTTTTTTTTTTTTTTTTTGTCTTTTCAGATAGAAAGTCAACAACACCAGAGGACTGCCCTGCGGGGGAGGCGAGGGTGATACATAAACTTTCAGATTAGAGCAGACTTCCCCTGTTTCATCCGCTAAAACCTGAAAAGGCAAATCAGTTATGTGTTTACAGTAGTGTTTCTACGTAGCTCTTTGTTTAAAAAGGAAAACTCTTCTTCAATTACCGTTTTCTCAAGTTCAGTTAAATCGCACTTGTTTGGAAGGTGGGGACAGGGGGCATGTTCTTTAACTTTCCTCTAAAATCTGCTACCAGAAAAATTCTTCCTCTTTTGTGGACGACATCTGCTCCCTTAGGCACGTTTCTGGCTTCTCGGAGTGCTTACCAGAAGGGCACCTCGCCAGGGGCTTTATAAATCAATCAATAGGGAGTCTATATTCATAAAGGCCTCTGATCTGGTTACACCTCCTCCCGGCTCCCTCCTCTGAAAAAGCTGAATCCGTGGGCCGGGATTCCAAGCCCGGCGGCCGGCGGGCGCCCGGTGACAGCGGCGGGCGTCCAGGGTGTGGATGTGGATTGCAGCGGGGACCTTTGTTCAGTCGCGCGGCCGGGCTGGGGGCAGGGTCGGATCACCCTGGGCTTTTACAGACTCGCCTTAAAAGGGCTCGAGCTCTCCGCACGGTTCATTTATGGGGCTTTCCAGGAATATTAGGACTTTTAAGACACTTTTCCCCCATTACTTTTCTTTGCTACGCTTTTAAAAGGGTCCTCGGGTTGTAGCATCTCGTAGGAAGAGGGTGGCGGTGGGAGAAAGCAGGCCTGAGAGAAGAAGATTCTTTCTCATCGAGCCGCCCACAGGACCGGGGTCTCCCAGTATATTTCTAAATTAAATTTATAATCAAGATTAAAGCTCAGAAACTGGAGGGAAATGAGACAAGTGTGTGCTATACGTAGCTTTCCTCAGGTTCCCACCAGTGTGCACTCGGTATCAGGAGAACGAAGAAATCGGGGCCTTGGGAATTTTAAAAGTTGATTTAAAAAGAAAAAAGAAAAATAAGCTAGAGAGGCCAAGGCCTAGAGAGTAACAGGTGGGGCGCGGGGAGGAGGCGGGCCTGGCCTCTAGGTGCCCGGAGGGACGGCCCAGCTGCTGGGGTCGCCTCCACTCGCCACGCGCGACCCCGTCCCGGGAGGCTGGGCTTCACGCTATGGATTACATTACAGGTTCCTCTAAGCACTTTAATACACAACTAGCTCAGAAATCATTAAGAGAGCTGGAGAGGGGGAAATGCCCTCACACTCACCGCAGTAAGTGTCCACACGCAGCAGAAATCGATCGAGGCCCGCGGGCCGGCTCGGCCTGGCTGGCTCCCGCTCCCGCCGGTGGAGAGGAGGCGCGGCCAGGCGGAGGCGGGAGGCGGCCGCGAGAGGTGCATCCTCCTCCGGGAAGCCGGAGAGGGCGAGAGGCCCGGGCGCCCGAGTCTCCGCCCCCGGCCCGCGCCGCCGCCGCCGCCGCCGAGTGACAGCTCCGCCCGGCCTCCGCCTCCGCCTCCCCCGCAGGTCGGTGGATTTCTGCGGAGCCACAGCCCGGCGAGGCCCCTGTCCGAGAGGCTCCGTGAGCCAGAGTCCGCCCGGCTCGCGGCCCCGCGTCCTCCCCTGCTCCCGAGCGGACGGGACGGGCGGAGGCCGCTCCCAGGCCTCGGCTGCCCCTCGGCCGCGCTTCCCCGCGGGCTGGAGAGCGGGCCCCGCCGGCTCTCCCGGGACTCCGCCCGCTCCTCGGAGCAGACTTCGGCGCTGGGCTCCCAGCGCGCCGGGCGAGGCTCCGGGCAGGCGGACGCAGCCCGGGCTCAGGGATGCGGGTTTCTCGGGCGGCCGGGAGCGGCGTTCGCCCTCGCGCTCCGCTCCGGGACAACAAAGCCCTGGCGCTCCCCTCCCCCAGCTCCGCCGCGCCGGGCGGGCGATGCCCTGCAAATCAGTCCTCTCGGCCACTATTTGTGACAGGAGGAAGAAAGTAAAAAGCCCGAAGAGGCAGCAGCGGTGCTTAACGTTTTTTTAAACAGCCGCCGACCTCCTTCCCAGTTTAGATGTCAGAGGATGGGAGGCCCAGGGCTGTAATTCATCTTGATTTGCTTCATTGTCCTGCAGTTTGCAAACTATAATCCTGTATAATTTCAGGAACAAGCAGGTTTAGAATTAATGGGTCAATATTATTTAAAACAAAACACTGGGAGCGTGACCTTTGCGCCTCAACTACATATTGCTCGACAAGACTCAGGAAACCCCGCTCTAACCTCTCAAGCCCTGGCTCTTTGAGAAACTGAAGGGCCATGGTTATTAGAAATGGGCTTTGTTTCTTTTAATGTCTCCAAAGGATTTGGAAATAGTAATGCAATATAACATGAAGAATCTCTCTACTTAAGCCTGAAAGATAAACGCGGAGGCCTAAATATTTTGAAATGGAGGTGTTTCCTCAGAAATTTATTATAGATGTATTCTTCCTGAGAGGAATGTATATAAACGGTACACGCACACGTATTTCTCCAGAACACTTTACTGGAGCTATAGTTTCCCCTGTGATGGAGTAAACGGGAGAGGCATTTCAAGCTGGCACACTTGGAATTTCTTTCACCTTCCTTCTCATGTATTATTTGCTGGCCATAATGGAATCCTCTGGTTTTAAGCCAAAGCAAAATCTGAGAGACAAGACTAGACTTTGCTAGCATTGCCCCCACTCAGGAGTGCCTTCTCTTTTTAGTTTCTGATGAATGGCTGTAATTTATTTCTACCAAATTTAAGTAAGTACCACTGCTGCTCGGTATGTTTAACGAGGCAGGCAGAGGAAACTGGTTTGTTTAGGAGGGAGTGATTTTAGGCGCCCCAGCCAGGTGACAGAGTAGGGGAGAAAGAATCCAGACCAATTTGTATGTAGTATATTTTACTCCCATGAAATAAAACACATTTTTTCCATATTTGCTGAAAAGTAAAACGATGATATTGTGGGAAATGTTATACACAGGGTAGGTTGTACATAGCAGTTTCAGAAACAATCACTGCATCCGCCAGAGAAACTATTCTAAAACTGATATTCACACATTTTTATAATAATAATGTTAGAAACATACAGTGTGGCATTTAGTATATACATTCCCTTGCTTGCAAGCGAAAACTCCTAATCGCTTCTGTATAACATGCTTTATTTTAAAGCCTAACCTTTAAAAACACTGTTGTGATATTACTAACAACTGCTTTTATAAAATTAATTTGACATTTCGAGATATATACATCCTTTCAGTCATTTCAACGTTAACAATGCTAAACTTAAAAAATAACAAGCTCATAGTAATGTTAAAACGTCATATCCAGTCAAACGCTTGTGTCCCTGCCCTTGCAACTGCTGGAAATACTTCCGTGAACGGTGGCGGACAGCGAGGATGTGCCTTTGAAAGCAAAGGAGCTCTCCTGAATTCAGCGGCTTCCTTTTCTCCCCTTCCTGCCCACGACCTCCTGGCGCAATTCCCAGTCCCCAGGCGGGCCGCCCGGCGGCGCAGTCTAGCGCAGTGCGGCTCACACGGGCCGGTCCACCGCGTACTGACAAGCACTCAGGTTGGACGCGGGGTTCTGCACGCTGGCGTAGCCGAAGCTGGAGTGTTGCTTGGCTTTCAGTCTCAGGCTGGCCAGGCTGGAGTTACACGTGTCCCTGTAAACGTACGGGGGCGTCGGCGGCGCGTAGGGACAGGCGGGCGTCGGCACCGCGGAATTCAGCGACGGGCTGCTCAGGTTGTTCAAGTTGTTGAGGCTGTTGAGGCTGGAGCCCGGGACGCCGGTCACCGCCGAGGGCACCATGCTGGACGGCATGCTCATGGACGAGATGGAGTTGGGCGGGGAGAACATGCTCTGCGAGGACAGGGGATTGACGTTCATGGAGTTGAAGAAGGGGAAGCTTTTGCTGGACAGGGAGGCCGGCGTGAGGCCCTTGGCGGCCCAGTTGTTGTAGGAGTAGCCCGGGTACACGTCGTCGTAGGGCTGCATCAGCCCGTTGAACTGCGGCCCGAAGCCGTTTTTGCACAACTCGGCCTGCTGGTTGCGCTCCCGCTTTCTCCATTTGGCCCTGCGATTCTTGAACCAAACCTGGGGATGGGGCAGGTGGGGGCAGCTCAGATTAGTAAGCACTGGGTCAGGAAAGCGCCGGGCCGCCCCACGCCCACGCGCGCACGCCCGGCAGCCTGCGTCTCCCCGCGCACCTGCCCGCGCCCCTCGCGGTCCGGACTCAGTTGCTCCCCAGCGGCCTATGGACAGCGTGGTCACCAAGCCAGGCCCTCCTCGGGGGCCAAGCTTACTGGAGAATAAACCAGGGCCAGCCGGCTGTCCGCCCAGCCCAGCCCGCACCTCCTCGGAAGCTGGCTTCCATTCCAAAGCGCGGACCAGGGGCTGGGAGGGCAACAGGGAGCCTGCAGGTCAACAGGCCCCGCCTTCCCACCCAGGACCTCCACGTCGCCCCTGCCCTCTGCGGGCGTCTTGGCGGGGGCGGGGGGGGGGACTCCTTCCTCCCTAGAAAAACCACCTCACAAAAGCCCAAAGACCACCTCCTTGTCTGCTCCTTAAACGCCGAGCTTGGCGTGCAAAACCCGGGCACCCAGGACCAGTGTCCGAGGCCTTGCAGGCCTCCCTTCCGCTGCCCACCTTGGGACCAGCTCCGGCGCGGCCCAGGGCAGGCTCTGGCTGTGCAGGCGGCAGCCCGCGCCTGCCAGCCCCACCCGCGTGTCTTGGCCCCGCCGCAACCCCACTTCCAATCCACATCGCCCTGGCGCCCCAGACCCCAGACGGGGAGGCTTTTGTGTATTGGAGCGAGGCCTGGTCGGGGTCTGGACCTGACACCGCAATGTTGCACGTTACACGTCTCTGCCGGCTCAGCCTCCTAATCCGCTTTTTTCCTTTCATTCCCGATTTGCTTTTCATCCCCTTCCTCTTTGCTCCTGGCTGCTATAAAAACCAGGCCGGCTCCCACTGGGCTGCAGGGAGGGGAGCCCAGCTACGGGAGGAC